GGTTGCTCCACAAAAATTTCCTCATTGAGCCAACCATTTAGGAATGCTGACTTCACATCTAATTGGTAGATTCTCCACTCAAATTGGGCAGCCAATGCAAGAAGAATCCTTATAGTATCATGTCTAGCCACCGGTACAAAGGTATCCGAAAAATCCACACCATATTGTTGAGCCCTTAACAACTAGTCTTGCTTTATGTTTATACACTGAACCATCAGGCCTTAGCTTCCTTTTAAAAATCCATTTTACTTGGATCACTTTCCTGGTAGTTGGTCTGTCAACTATGTAACAACTGCTGAAAAATAATACAATGCATGCATAATATCAATAGAAAATGGGGCCCAAAAACTTTCTTTTCATTATAAGTCATATGTCTTTTATATACAAAGAGTATTGTTTACTAAAAGTCATTTTTAAAAGACAAAACAGGGGAAACAGTGTAGCTATTGCTCCTCGCTTGCCGATCTTCATGTTAGGAAACGACCCGGTTGCGCAGCGGAAACAAAAAATTACAACCATGGATCGTTCCTTAGAGCCCAAAATCAGGGCATAGAAAATTACAGTTTATATTTTATAAGAATCTGCAGAAAAATAAATCCAAAGGTTTAGATTCATACCCACGTTGAGGCTCCACCATATTGTCTCTGAACGTGTTTGCTACCGATCCAAGTATAGATCGAACCAGAAGTCCACACAAGACAACCACCAGAACCAAGGAGGGATTTGCTAGATCCTCCTTGGCCTTAAGAAATCAAGAAGAAAAGGAGTATTTGATTTTTCAATCAAAAGGGTGAAAGTGGCGTGGGAGTGAGTGTAAAAAGGGGCTGCTGTGTGTGTTTGTTTTCAAAAGGCAAAATGAATTAATTAATAAAACACACAAACACTATTCTTTTTATAGGCAAACCAAGTTGCCCTATTCCCACATGGAATGGCTTGGGCTCCAACCCAAACACCCCATGTTGCCAAACACTCCCAAATTAGATATTTATTTATTTCATCATTATTTCAATTAAAAAATCAATTAATATATATTTATATAATATTAACATTTAACAATAATGATAATTTATTTGAATATGTGCGAACACACTAACCGTAATTTCACTTATTTAATTTTTAACAAATTAAATAAAAGGCACGACCTCAGCAAATTTAATTGCACTGTGAAATTACCAAATACCTTTCACCCAAAAAGACGGAAACGCCCTTCTTTCTTCTTGGCTCTTAATTATCTTCTATGTGTGTGACCCATAGGCTCCTCATCATACCGGTAGTGTTGTATAGCGATTAACACAAAGGTTGTCCCATTTCCAGCAGATTATCACCTACATCATCACTCCTCCTTGATAAGCTTGCTAGAAACACCAAGTCTAAGTCTCAAACTCTCAAACTTGGTTTTAGGTAGTCCCTTGGTCATGATATCAGCAAGTTGATCTTCACCCCTGTAATGGATTAGTTTTACTTCAGCATTGCTTTCGGCTTCCCTCACACACGAAACTTGATCTTGATGTGCTTTGTCCTGCCGTGTAGGATTGGATTCTTAGCCATGGCCACTGCTGATTGGTTGTCACAGAAAATTACAGTAGGTTCTTCTTGAACTTGCCTCAAGTCCAGCATAATTTTCCTTAACCAAATAGCTTGGTTAACTGCGTCAGCAGCAGAAATATATTCTTCTTCTGTTGTGGATTGTGTTATGGTGTCTTGCTTCTTGGAATGCCAGCATACGACCCCTGAGTTCAAGAAGAACACATAACCTGATGTACTTCTCATGTCATCAATGCAACCAGCCCAATCACTGTCAGAGTAGCCAACAAGCTGCAATTTTTTGGCCTTCTTGAACCATATTCCAAGCTCAACACTTCCTTTAACATACCTCAGCACTCTCTTGGCTTCTTTAAGATGAATCTCACTAGGATTGGACATGAACCTAGAAAGAACACTAGCAGCAAACATTAAATCTGGTCTGATGGCAGTCAAGTACAGAAGGCAGCCTATGATGCTTCTGTACATTGTTTCATCAACTTTCTCAGCCCCATCATCCTTACTCAATTTTAAATTCACAGCCAATGGAGTGTCCACTGGTTTGCATTTGTCCATGTTGTACTTATGCAGAATTTGAGTTGCATACCTCTTTTGATTAACAAATATCCCATGATGACTTTGGTGGATTTCCATCCCAAGAAAGTAGGACATCTCCCCTAGATCAGTCATCTCAAATTCCTTATGCATGGCTGATTTGAAATCATTAAGGTGACTTAGGCTGCTTCCCATGATCAGTAGGTCATCAACATAAAGAGAAATTATGGTACACTCATTTTCCAGCCTCCTAACATATAATGTGTGCTCATTAGCACTCCTTGCATAACCCAAACTCATCAAATACTCATTGATTCTGCTGTACCAGGCTCTTGGAGCCTGTTTCAGGCCATATAAGGCCTTTCTCAGCAAATACACCTTATGCTCCTACCCTTCCACTTCATATCCCTCCGGTTGCTCCACAAAAATTTCCTCATTGAGCCAACCATTTAGGAATGCTGACTTGACATCTAGTTGGTAGATTCTCCACTCAAATTGGGCAGCCAATGCAAGAAGAATCCTTATAGTATCATGTCTAGCTACCGGTGCAAAGGTATTCGAAAAATCCACACCATATTGTTGAGCAAAACCCTTAACAACTAGTCTTGCTTTATGTTAGCTTCCTTTTAAAAATCCATTTTACTTGGATCACTCTCCTGGTTTTTGGTCTGTGAACTAACTCCCAAGTCCCATTCTTCTCAATCATGTTTATCTCCTCCTGCATTGCATTCCTCCAGACTTCGGATTTGGCAGCCTCCCTGAAGTTTGCAGGTTTAATCATGGCTGCATTACATCTCTCATAAACCTCAGTCAAGGACCTTGTTCCCCTGATTGGAAAATCATCATCCAAGTCCGCCTCTTCTGGAATGTCAAACCTGTCCATTGGAGCATCTACAATCTGCTATATTCTGTCCATTTCAGCTTCATTTTTCTTCCAGTTCCAGGTCCTTTTTTCATCCACCCTCACATATTGTGATGTGTATCTTCTTGGCTGTAGGATCATATACTCTATAGGCTTTGGACTGCTCACTGTATCCTATAAAAATTCCTGTCAAAGCCTTCTCATCAAGTTTGCTTCTTTTAGCTGCTGGAATGAGAGCATAACACACACTCCCAAAGATCTTCAGATTTCTAACTGAGGGTTTCATTCCATACCAAGCTTCATAGGATGTTTGATTTGTCAAGGCTTTAGTAGGGAGTCTATTAAGCAAATAGACCTCTGTATTTACAGCTTCTGCCCAAAATGATTTAGGCAGCCTCTTCTCAGCAACCATGCACCTTGCCATCTCTATTATAGTCCTATTCTTCCTCTCACTAACTCCATTTTGCTGTGGAGTATAGGGACAACTGAACTGGTGAATAATTCCAGCCTCTCTGCAGATTTTTTCAAATTCATTGGAAGCATACTCACTCCTATTATCACTTCTAACATTCTTTATGCTTAAACCTGATTGCTTTTCAACTTATACTTTAAACCTCTCAAACACCACTGCAATTTCACTCTTTAATTTCAAAAAGAACACCCAGCACATCTGGGAATAATCATCAATGAAGAGGATAAAATACTTGCTTCCATTTAAGGATGGTATTTGCATAGGTCCACACACATCCGTATGGACAAGTTGCAGCTTTTCACTAGCTCTCCAGGCCTTATTTACAGGGAAGGGAAGTCTGCTCATCTTGCCAAGTTGACAAGTAGAACAAATGGTTTTGTTTTCACCAATTTCGGGCAGATCACAGACCAATTCTTTGGTTTGAGTTTCCCTAAGGCTATGGTAGTTTAAGTGGCCTAATCTCTTATGCCATAAGTTAGTCTCATCTAAACTCACAACATGTGTTTCTATGTCAGGTTTGTTTAGCCTAATGGGAAAACTTTTTCCCATCATCCCAACCTTCATTAATTCATTCCCTTCATTGTCCAAGATTGTGCAAAACTGATCCTGGAAGTGCAGGGCATATTTCCTCTCCATCATTTGACCAACACTCAAGAGATTATGACTTAAACTAGGCACATACAAGACATTGGAAATGAGTTTGATACCTGATTTTGTTTGTACAGCAACATCTCCTCTCCCTTTCACAGCTACAAATTCCCTATTACCAACTTAACCTTGGAATGGTAAGACTTGTCCAAATTTACAAAGTCTTCCAAGTTTGCTGTCATGTGATTTGTGCAACCATGATCTATTAGCCAATCATCATTTTGAGCTTGAATAACACTGCATGAGGCCACAAACAACTGCTCTGGATCTGAGTTTGGCTGTTGATCCTCCACAATCTGAGCTTGCGGTGTTGACTGAGTTGGTTTGCTTTTGCATACCTTTTTAATGTGACCATATTGCTTGCATGATCTACACTGAACATTAGGCCTAAACCAGCACCTCTTTTCACTATGCCCTTTCTTCTTGCAGTGAGCACATGGTGGAAATTCTTTCCCTCCAGTCGGTTTATTCCACTGGTTTCCCATTCTCTCNTCCTCGGGATTCTCATTGAGGGATATTCAGAGGATACCTGACTGGAGGGGGGTTTTACAGTTTTTCAACCTGCAATTTGAACCTCTCAAACGCCACTGCAACTTCACTCTTTAATTTCAAAAAATACACCCAGCACAATCGGGAATAATCATCAATGAAGAGGATAAAATATTTGCTTCCATTTAGGGATGGTGTTTACATAGGTCCACACACATCCGTGTGGATAAGTTGCAGCCTCTCACTAGCTCTCCAGGCCTTGTTTACAGGGAAGGGTAATGTGCTCATCTTGCCAAGTTGACAAGTAGCACAAATGGTTTTGTTTTCAGCAATTTTGGGCAAGTCATTGACCAGCTCTTTGATTTGAGTTTCCTTAAGACTATGGTAATTTAAGTGGCCTAATCTCTTATGCCACAATTCAGTCTCATCTACCTCCACAACATATGCTTCTAATTATGGTTTGTTCAGCCTAATGGGAAAGCTTTTTCCCATCATCCTAACCTTCATCAATTCATTCCTTTCACTGTCCAGGATTGTGCAAAACTGATCCTGGAAGTGCAGGGCATACTTCCTCTCCATCATTTGTCTAACACTCAAAAGGTTATGACTTAAACTAGGCACATACAAGACATTGGGAATGAGTTTGATAACTGATTTTGTTTGCACGGCAATATCTCCTCTCCCTTTCACAGCCACAAATTCCCCATTTCCAACCTTAACCTTGGAATGGTAAGACTTGTCCAAATTCACAAAGTCTTCCAGGTTTGCTATCATATGATTTGTGCACCCACTGTTTATTAGCCAATCATCATTTTGAGCTTGAACAGCACTACATGAGGCCACGAACAATTGCTCTGGATCTGAGTTTGGCTGCTGGTCCTCGACAATTTGTGCTTGTTGTGTTGACTGAGATGGTTTGATTTTGCATACCTTTTCAATGTGACCATATTGCTTGCATGATCTACACTAAACATTAGGCCTAAACCAGCACCTCTTTTCACTATGCCCCTTCTCCTTGCAGTGAGCACATGGTGGAAATTCTTTCCCTCTAGTCGGTTTGTTCCACTGGTTTCCCATTCTTTCCTTTCCTTTCTTTTCTCCCGCAGGTCTCTTGCTTCCACCCTGGCCTAGTTTGCCTTTGAATTCAGCCACCATTGCACCCTCACTAGAGTGCTCTTGCCTCAACAATCTCTTTTGTTCTTGAGCTTGCAGGGCATACACCAAATCAGTGAGGGTGATTTGTGTCAAATCCTCAGAATCCTCAAGTGAGGATATCTTAGATTCAAACCTTTCGGGTAGGCTAACAAGAACCTTTTCAACTATCCTTTTATCTGTCATCTCCTCTCCCATTAATCTGATTTTGTTTACCACATTCATCAACCTATCCACATACTCTTTTACGGTTTCAGACTCCTGCATTTTCAGCATCTCAATCTCCCTCCTCAAGTTTAGCACCTGCATACCCTTTGTTGTATCACTACCACCAAACTCTTCTTTGAGTTTATCCCATGCTTCCTTGGCTGACTCATATGCCATGATTCTAGTGAACACTTGCTCAGTCACTACTGCATGGATATGGGACAAGGCTCTTGGTGATTTGGTGGCTTCTTCATCGTGTAATCTAATCTGGTTCAAGGTGGGGTTTGACCCTAGTACAGGTGGTTGTCTATCCTCTTCAACATACTGCCATAATCCTTGTCCTCTCAAGAACGTTTTCATTTTGATAGCCCAAATGTGATATTGCTCCCCATTGAAGGTTGGAGGAGATAGAGAGGTTGAGGGTTGTGCCATTGAGTCAGTTCATGTGATACTTGAAGCTGATTTCTGCATAACAGGGGTTGAGAAAATGGAGAAGAAGAGATGAGGTTATCAAGCCCTTAAGATCAATATTGCTCTGATACCATTTGTTGGTTCAAAGAAGAAAATTTCAGAGTAAAAATAAGAGATTGAAAATGAAGGAGACGGCAAGAATTTAGGGATTTTTCTCTCTGTATTTCTTTCATTGAACAGAGCAATGTATATACAAACTTACGTCACTGTTTTACTTACTGCAGTAAAATAAAATATTACAAATACACTTTAGCAAAAAATATGCACCAACCCAAGTCTAAGTCTCAACTAAACATGACATAAAGTCTTCACTTGATTGGCCTGATATCTGCTCCACAACCACTGCAGTCATAACAAAAACATAAACTGAAACTTTGGCTCCAAAAATCAGGTTTGAATATCCAGCCGGAAGTTGTCCCATTTCCAGCAGGTTATCACCTATATCATCAGCCTCAGAAAATATTATGGGCCTTATGGAGCGCATCTCTGTATCTTCAATGGTAAAAACAGGACAGTAAGAACAGGGGAAATCGGGGCATGAAAGACATAAATTATATATAAAAGTGTTGTGTTGTAACTTCGTATAAGTTTCTGCCTGTACTAAAAGTTTAATATAGCTAATACCTAGGGACAAAGTTATATTTTCTGAAGTGAATTCACAGCCATAGCCTCCAAGAAAGAGGCATGTCAAACCTAGACTGTAGCTTGGATGCTTCCTCATTGAGATGACTAGGAAAGCAATTAAATTAGTAGCCACTTGCACATGTGCCTTTAACAATAATTTCTGAATGTACACGGGAACAATTTGCGAATTCGTGTTAATATATTGCAGGAGTTGGTATCATGAATCAACATAAGGAATCTCATCCTCTGCAAATTTCAATGAAGAAATTTTAATTGCTATGCTTTTTTTATTTCATTGACATATAACTCTATTTTATTCCTGTGTCCAGATAGGCCTGCCTCTCTATTGAAGACAATGGCTGTTCACACGTTCATGTATATAATATTGTTCTGTGCATTACCTTATTAAACTAATTTTCATGAATTATTGATGCATATTCTTATTGTTTCCATTTCGATTATGCTAATTTAGAATGGAGAAAACAATCAAATAATTCTACATCATTAAATGATTTCTAAACAAGAGATAGGCAAGATCTGCAAACAAACTTTGCTTTTCTTTTCATGAACAAAAAAATATTTGTTAGTTAACAATTTGCTTTCTACACTATTTGATACTATCCCCCTAACAGAAAGGCAGAAAGCCGATTAAGCATGTGAAATTTGAGTTCATCATGTGAATTTGATCAATCTCCGTTGTAAACTAACCCTAATCTTGCAAACCTGAACACCAATTCAAGATCAAACCAAGCACAAACAGATCAATCAATACACAACCAATTTTACCGTGGTTCGCTTGTTCAATATAGAACAAGTTACATCCACGTTAAACTCCAGAATATGGAGCTCGCTGCACTAGGATCAATCACTTCAAAGATTACAGTTACAGACGAATTTCCTTCACTATCAACTACACATTCACTCACTCATTCACTTCTCTTTATCTCGCAAATCCCAACAACCACTAGAGCACTCTATGCCCTTTAAGGAACACCCTGCCCTCAAAATAAGACTCTAGAAAGATTCACACAGAGAAGAACCAAAATGAATATGAAACCCTAACCCAAGTAACAAACAAATTTACAGAGAAAAAAGAGAGAAACCCTAATACATGATCTGACTGCCAAATGCGTGAATAGTTCGCTTTTATATTGTTGACTTCTGATTTAACTGGAGCTATCGGATCATGTTTGATTGAATGGCTAAGATTAACTGGAGTTTAATGACCAAAACAAGAACGTTTTTGCTTGGCTCTAAACGACGTCACAGACTTCACCATTTTAACAATCTCTAACTATGATCAGGATCAAGACAATAAGAATCTTGACAGCCATGAGCACTTACATAAACTGCATAATATTCAATTTCTTTGAGTATACTTGCGAGTTGACACAGGTCATTAACTAATCAACTCAGTTCTTGGTTTTCAGTCATTGAGTATGCTTTAAGAATTCAATTGAGATTATTTTCCTTCTCTTTTTTTTTTTTTTTTTTTTGGTTTTTCCTTCCTGTTGATTTTTTACAGAGCTGCTTTGAGTGAATTCAAAACTAAGCATACTAACTATTAAAGTACAGAATTAAAGAGGGAAGATATGATATAGCAGCAATAATTTCAAGAAAAGTGTATAATTTTTTTATCCAAGTATAATACAATTATATTTGACTTTTTGTACAAGTATTGAGTTCTTCTTGATTGTTTAGGCTACTGGTTGAGGATGTTTAAAATGGACACCCTGGATTTGATCAAATTCCTATACAGAGACTCAATTCCATCTTCAATATCCTGAATGCACAACTCCAAATTTTGAAGCTCATTTTGCACATCTTCAATTTGCTTTGTCTTGCAGCAGAGGAGAGTTTGCAATGCAGCATCTACCTTTGAGATCTCATTTATATTCGCTTCTTCTTCTTCGCATGTCACTCTTCTGTTATGTACAAGCTTGGAAACTAATGACCAACTGCTCAATTTTTTTGTTGACTTGGGCCCGGAAATGAAGCACAGTAACGAATTCAATATTGTTGAAGTATGAATCTTTTGGTAGAAAATTAAAATGTTGCAGCATAAGAAAAGTATTGCCACGGCAGCAAGGAAGAAAAAGGGCAAAGACCGGCATGACCTGAAGTGCAGTTTTAGTTTAATTAAAATTCTGTTACTTTCAGTTTTTATGAATTTGAAACTTCTATTAACTGCATGTTTCAATCTTAAATGCAGTTGTTTAATGTTATCCCTTTGCAACTCTATAAAAAGGGATCCTAAGATGAATGTATTAAGGAAAAATATTGAGAGAAAATATTAAAGTGAAATTTATTGTTTTAGATTTTCCCTTTCCTGAATTTAGAAGCCATAGACTTGATTTTCTTGGCTTCTAAATTCCAACAAATGGTATCAGAGCCCTTTATCTTAAGGGACCTGTGAGAGATTTCTTAATTTTGTGAATGAATTCAGTGAGGAGGAGTAAGATCTTCCTGAAGGGTTGTGAAGAAAATCCTTGTAAGTTTGTCTTAAAAGTTTATGGCAAAGAGTGGAGAAAATCCTTGTGAGTTTGCCTTAAATTTGTGGCAAATAATTCCAGAGACATTACAAAAATGACTCTGGATGATTTGATGAGTGCTCTTGAGACGCAAGGGCAAAGAAGAAAGATGAGTGGTATAGAGACTACTCTATGAACCAAGGCTGCAGTCAAGCCAAAGTTTTCAGAAATGTCTCCAACAAGAGGATTGCAGGGAGAAGAAGTCACTCCAACAAGAAGGTTGGAGGGAGAATAATCCCAAGCATGTAACGTGCTTGAGGATGAAGAAGATTTGCAGGATGATAATCTGCAAGAATGCCAGCGACAGGATCTGCGAGAGGACATTGAAGATGTCCTGAGACTCTAGTTGAAACTTGGAGGTAGATGAAGAATTGCAGCATGTTTGTCTGCAAGATTGAGGAAAAGAAGCCAACACTCAAAGCATGAAGGAGTGGTAGCCTGTAGTTGTTAAAGAAAGGAGGAGTAAGTTTGACGATGAGGCTGAAAATGCCATGTTTATTGGATATAGAAGTCAGGCAAATAACTCTATAATCCGAAAGTTAAGTGCCATGAAAGCAAAAGTGTGGCAGCAAAAGTGGCTGCAAGTGTGGCAGTAAGGTTGGCTGTCGAGTTGGCAGCAAAGCAGCAAGAGTGGCTGCAAATTTGGTAGCAAGAGTGGCTAGAAGGTTGGTTGCAGGATTTGCAGCAAGGCAGCAATGTTGGCTGCAAGTTTGGCATGAAAAGCCATGAAGGCGTGAAGAGCCTTGAAAACATGCTGAGGAGCATGTTTTGAAGTTTCTACCAAAAGAATCAAGGAGGAGTGTTGAAGTATGAATCTTTTGGTAGAAAATTAAAATGTTGCAGCATAAGAAAAATATTGCCACGGCAGCAAGGAAGAAAAAGGGCAAAGACCGGCATGACCTGAAATGCAGTTTTAGTTTAATTAAAATTCTGTTACTTTCAGTTTTTATGAATTTGAAACTTCTTTTAATTGCATGTTTCAATCTTAAATGCAGTTGTTTAATGTTATCCCTTTGCAACTCTATAAAAAGGGATTCTAAGATGAACGTATTAAGGAAAAATATTGAGAGAAAATATTAAAGTGAAATTTATTGTTTTAGATTTTTCCTTCACTGAATTTAGAAGCCACAGACTTGATTTTCTTTGCTTCTAAATTCCAACAAATATAGTGACAGTCAATGGCTCAACCTCTACTAACATGTTACAGTCTATGCCTCAACCTCTACTAACATGTTAACCATGGCATCAGTCTCCTTGTCCTGAGTGGAAGAGATGACAATTTTATTCTCCATGCACTTCAAATTCCCCAAGGCACTGCAGATAGCCTTTTTCAGAGCCTTCTTAGAGGCTGGATATTTCTTCACCTCACTTGCAATGTCAATTTTACCTCGTCTGCATCGCAAAATAGATTGAAGCTCTTATGCAGATTCTTTGATTTGCAACAAAGCTTCCTTGGCAGTGTTACACACATCCAATAGCCTAAGAGATCTTATCTAACAACTCATCGGCTGATTTTTTGTGCAGGTCACTGGCTAAAGCCACTTGTGTAAGAGGCAACAGAAGTAACTTGTCAACACACTCGTGCAAATCTTGAAGGCCACTTAATTGATGGCATATTGATGATGAACATGTAGAGGATCTTCTTAGATGCTCATCAAATTCTGAAGTTAGAGGGTGTGGTCTGGATGGAAAGCAATTTGAGCGAGGATGGTAAGCTGAGGCAGCCATTTTCTTTCCTTAAGAAGTTTTGAATGCTCAATTCACCTCAGAAATATGGCTTTCTTCTGCTGCTAATTCATAATATATACTATGGAGCAACAGAGACAAAAGAAATCTCATCCCCTTCAAATACCAATCAATACCAGCATCATTTTGATTTAGATCTAATTGTTGTCTTGACAATGTTTTTACCCTACCTGTCTCCAACTTATTATCAATAATTTTAACTTTGTAAAATGGCACTAGAACTATTATAATCAGCAACACACGGGTGATATTGACACCAGAAAATAGGTTATAGCCAAATAATTCAATGTGTCACATCTGCAAGTTTATACTAAATTATTTGCTCTTCTATTTCAATTAGCAACATGAAGCTCAATATTATATGAAAATGAATCCTCCAATCCAGCCTGGTCTGCCTCGCTCTTGGAGGCAATATTCGTTGTGTAACCAGTCCTCAACTTGATCACCTGATTGTAATAAAGGTTAGATATAATAAGGCTTATACATCTGTTCAATGACAGTACTCTTGTCTCAGGCCATGTGGAGACTAATTAAATCACAATAATAATGAACATAGCAGAAAAATTAGTGCACATGAGGAGATGTGTCATTTGCACTCATGATTTAACAAGCTTAAAGTAGTTAGATGATTAGCTGGAGATATTGTGACAGGGAACAAAACATCAATATCGCTGAGATGGGGTCTGGATATTGATATCAAAATCATATTACTGCTGGTTGATGTGTGAAGCACTCAGATTCCTTGTCTCCCTCACCTTTTCATATATATTGAGTAGTTTCCAGGGGATACAAGGGAAATTGCTAAATATTGCAAATTCAACTTCTAAGCCTTTCTCTCATCTAAAGAAAGCAAAATGGCTACTTCGTACCACACTCGGTCAAACAGCTTGCCCTCTAGGCCACACCCATTTTCCTCAGATTTTGATGAGAATTTGCACAGATTAAAGGCCTCTGAATCAGCTTCAACATCTTCATCATCAATAAGCCAAAGACTTAATGGCCTTCAAGACTTGTATGATTCGGTTGATAGGTTGCTTCAGTTGCCCCTTTCTCAACAAGCTTTAGCCCAAGAGCTACAGAAGAAGAATGTACAAAAGTTTTTGGATGGATCTCTAATCCTCTTGGATATTAGTAGCACGGCTAAGGATTCCTTGTTGCAAACAAAGGAATGCATACTTGAACTGCAGTCAATCTTGCGTAGAAGACGGGGAGGTGAATTTGAAATCGATGAGGTTAAGAAATACTTGAGCTCTAGGAAAGTTGTGAAAATGGCCATTCACAAGGCCCTGAAAATTTTGAAGGGTGCAGAATGCAGCTTTTCTACCTTGGATGAGGACCTTGAGACCAAGGCCATGGTTAGCATGCTAAAGGAGACGGAAGCGAAGACAATCACAGTGCTTAACTCTATGTTGTCCCTTATCTCAGGACCAAAGGCTCAATCAAAGATTAGCAGCTGGTCAGTGGTTTCCAAGCTAATTCAATCCAAAATAATAGCATGTGAGAAAGAGGAAAAAGATGTAAATGAGTTTGATAAGGTGGATGCAGCACTGCAATCATTCATCGGTCTCAAGACAATCAAATCCGATAACTTCTTCCATGTTCAAAACCAGCTAAAAGAGTTGGAATCAAGCATTCAAGATCTTGAAGAAGGAATTGAGAGCTTGTATAGGAGCTTGATCAAAAACAGAGTCTCTCTCCTCAACATCCTCAACAACTAGCTTAGAACATGATGATGTAGTCATACTTGTACATGAGAAAAACATACATACAATATTTTCAATACAAAATTCATATGCTTTTTGGCTCAAATATTTCTGCTTCCTGTTGATACTGTGAGTGTTTAATTTTTCATCCCATGGATATCAGTTAAGCAGGGTAAATTAATTAAAAATAAAATCTACACTGTGATTGGTGACTCAATGAGTAATTAACACAAAGTTATCGAAGGTATTTTTTTTTTAAGAAAGAAGCTTTGCTGGGTTAATTGGCAGGTTTTTCAAAACTTTGAGGCCTCACGGAAATTATTTTACTTTAAACCAATATGAAATCTGTCAAGATTCCAATTGTTTCCAGGGAGATAATCAAACGCATCAAAATTTGATGATATTCACATGGAAGAGTTCAATGTCATACACTGAGTAAATAAAAATATGCTGGTTGTCTTTCTGTTGGGAGGGCATTTCAATCAGTTTATCAAGTTCTCAATTAGCTCATACCAATTTTCTATGCTATAGCAGCTAAGTATATGGATCTTGCCTTCTGTTACATGACAATCATGGAAGGATATGCTTTTTAATCAAATTATTCTACATTACACATGCACTGGGGAGAATCATATATGTAGATCTTGTCTATGTGTTATCACATGAATTATTTGCAAGTTCTAAAGATTAGGTATGAAAATGAGTGTCATTATTGATTGAAGATCATTGAGTTTTATAATGGCAATTCGTGCAGCAACAAAATGAATCCCCACGTGTAGATGTGTCATAGCAACTAATTTATAAATTAAACAGATGGATCATATTAGTATATTAACAATCAAATGAGCTATAATGGTTGTTGTCTGTTCTCGTTTTCCTATTCCACTCGTGCATTTGCATTTTTAATTGCTTACTGTTCACTATATCATATTGTATTAGCCTAAGTTCAGGATCTTTGTGATCTCACAAGGTAATATGTGATATGGTGATTTGGAAAGCTGGTGGATGAGAAACATTGTGTATACATACTTAAATAAATTATACATTAAGTATTTGGTGTTTGAATCTATCAAGTGAATGTAATTGAACTTTGACCAGTTTTTAATTATATCAAACTTGGGCCAGAAAGAATTTTTCCAGCATTAGGACTGATATGAGTAGCATAAAAACCAATCTGACACCAAACTTGATTTAGAAACATATGCGTGTATACTTGCGAGCTTTTACAAAGCATTTTCTTTATTAACTAATTAACTAATTCCTTCGATATTGACTAATTGAATTTCTGAACTTGATCCTATTCTCATCTACTTGTTTTCACAGAAAAATTAAATTCACTGTACATTCCTTCTTCCCTAACTTCAATTGATTTACTTAATGGACTAAGAATTGAAAATTATTGCAAGTGAACTCACAAATATATAAATACTATGCAAGTTATAGAAGTAAACAAAGTAAGATGTGTCAGCAGTAATTTGAGGAAAGTGTATTTCAATTTTGTATCTAATACATAATACAAGTATATTTCATTTCTGTACAAGTATTGAGTTCAGCTTGATAGTCTAGTCTAACGGTTAAGAATGTTGAGAATAGACAGCCTGGATTTGATCAAACCCCTATAGAGAGACCCAAGTCCATCTTCAAAATTTTGAATGCACAATTCTGTCTTTTGCAGCTCATTTTGCACATTTTCGACTTCTCTGGTGTTATCAGATTAGTTTGACTCGCAACTAAGGAGCGTGTTGGTTTTTAGGGCCGGTGAACTCTAAGAAAGATAAGGAGAAAAATGAAAACTGAACTGCATTTCATTACACTGCAACTTGGCAAATATATACAACAACAATCTTACTGTTTTGCTAACTACAACAACCATTCAGATTTTTAAAATTTAAAACAAAGTTGGCAACTTATTATTCTAAGTTGATTACACCTAATCATGTCAGAAAACCAACAACTTCAGAAGCTTCAATTTCGGCGGACAAGTGGGAATGCATCAGCTGCTTGGCGCCAAAACTCATTCAAAACCAAACTAACTTTAACTGAATTTCCAGCAAATTATCAATACTTCAACACTCCTCCTTGATAATTTTGCTGGAAACTGATGATGTAGGTGATAACCTGCTGGAAATGGGACAACTTCCGGTTAGATATTCAAACCTGATTTTTGGAGCCAAAGTTTCAGTTTATGTTTTTGTTATGACTGCAGTGGTTGTGAAGCAGATATCAGGCCAATCAAGTGAAGACTTTATGTCATGTTTAGTTGAGACTTAGACTTGGGTTGGTGCATATATTTTGCTAAAGTGTATTTGTAATATTTTATTTTACTGCAATAGGCAAAACAGTGACGTAAGTTTGTATATACATTGCTCTGTTCAATGAAAGAAATGCAGAGAGAAAAATCCCTAAATTCTTGCCGTCTCTTTCATTTTCAATCTCTCATTTTTAGTCTGAAATTTTCTTCCTTGAACCAACAGAGGCACCTTTAAGCAGACACATTATTACATGTTGCATTTTTTGTTTCTTAAAAACGTGTAAGATTTGAGTATACCATGTGAATCTCATTAATTGATTGATTTCAATCATCTATGTGGAGACCATTGGAATCTTGACACCTCTGTATGTATATTAAATTGAATAAAATTTGCCAAAAACTAATAATTGAATCTCTGATATAAATGTTGATCAATTTCAAACCTGATGTCTACATGGGTAAATTTTTCTTAAATAGTTAAATTTAAATTAAACTTTTTCACCTAATTTATTAAATTTTTGTTTTCTTTTACTTCTGATAAAAAAATTAATCAAGAAGTGCTTATGGTAGAATCAACAAACATCGTTACTGTAAAAGTAAATGGTAGTTTGAAAGAGAGAAGATGGATATCAAAGGAAAAAGTTGTTTGAATCTAATTGATTTAGTATTAACAAGAATATACAAGTGTATTTGATTGATGTACAAGTATCAAAATTTTGTAATCTAATTGTTGAGGATGTTGAGAAGAGAGACTCTAGTTTTGATCAAACGTCTGCTCAAGGACTCAAGTCCATCTTCAAGATCTTGAATGCTTGACTCCAACTCTTGAAGCTGGATTTTGATGTTTTCACATGTGCTTTTCTTGTTGAGGAGGGTAGATAATTCGGCATCCACCTCTTCAAACTCATTTGGGTCTGTTTCCTCACATGCTACCTGTTTTGGTTGCATTATTAGCTTGGAAACTACTGACCAGCTGCTTAACTTTGATGAAGCCCTCGGCCCTAAGATAAGGGACAGAAGAGATTCAATTACATTGAAGGTGACGGAATCAACCTCTTTTAACATGCTTATCATCTCTTGTTCCTCACAGATTGGAGAAGAGCTTCGGTGTTTAAGGCCTTTCAAATTCTTCAAGGCCTTTTGGATGGTCTTCTTTACTGTCTTCCTGGAGGTCAAGTATTTCTTAACTTCAATTGTAAGTTCAAGATCATCGCCTCTTCTTCTGCGGAAAATGGATTGAAGTCCTTGAACAGATTCTTTAGTTTGCAACAAGGCATCCTTAGCAATGCTGCAGATATCCAAGAGCCTAAGAGATCCATTCAACAGCTCATCAACTGATTGCTTTTTCTGGTCTTGGGCTAAAGCTTGTTGAGACATGGACAACTGAAGCAACTGATCAACACAATCATGCAAATTTTGAAGGCCTAATATCTGATGGCTTATTGATGATGATGATGTAGAAGTAGATTGAGAATCCCTTAATCTGCATAAATGCTGATCAACTTCTGAAGTGATTGGGTGTCGTCTAGAAGGAAAACTGTTAGAGCGAGTGTGGTATGAAGCGTCCATTTTTCTTTCTTTCGGAATTGAAGAGGCCTAGAAATGAATTGTTCAGTTCAGTTTGCCTTCATTCAGTGACCATATGCTTAATATATATTATGAGTTAAAAGAGACAAAAGGAATCTCCTCCTCATATTCAACTAGGAACATGATTTCTGATTTGGATTTAAACATTGTATCAGCTATATTTATGCAATGTCTCCCACCAGCTCCCTAATATAATTTTTTTAGTGATTCAAAATCATAGAAGTATCTTGACATCAGTTAATGATCCGAAACAATGCAATGCATGGATGGAGTTGACCATTTCTCCTCAGCAACAATACAAGAGAAGCAATCCAGTTTGGCTTGCCTCCCTGTTGAAACAACAAATTTCTGACGCTCATGTGGACTTATATACAATTTGCTTCACACGAGTGATGTTGACAACCGGAAAAAGGTAGTAGCCAATTGTCGTTATGTATATTTAATATAAGAACATGTATTAGTAAATTGTTCTGGTGTAGATTGAATGCCCTTGATGCTTCCGTATGATAAGACTAATGACATGTAGAGACAGAGATCCACTTCATAAGGCTCTTAAATATCTTTGAAGCAACACAATTATGTAAACCAACGTTCTGATAAATAAGTTAATCAAATATTCCAGGTCCTATACTGATTAATTAATTGTTGTTCAAGAGGGAACAAGGTTTGCGATGTCGAGCGTCATATGTTTTCCCAACATAATTTACCTTAACACATGGATGGCCAGCAATTGTTTCAATGCTTAAACGTGTGACAATTAAATCCACCAAGTCAATCCATTAATTCAATCATCTATCTAGAGACAATTAGAATCTTGACACCTCAGATGTCTAGTTAATAATTGCATACAAATTGCCTTAAATTAAACTTGTTCATCCAATTTAACCTTGTTTATTTTTTCCTAAACTCTGGCAAGTTTAATCTCCAAGCAAAAAGAACTCTACCCAACACTTTTAGCAGTAAAAGTAAATGATTTTGAGGGAAAAAAAAAGTAGAAGAAGATAGGATATCAAAACAAAACTTTGTTCGTGTATCTATTGATTTAGTATCGACAAAAATATACAATTGTATTTCATTGATGTACAAGTATCAAAATTTTGTAATCTAATTGTAGAGGATGTTGAGAAGACAGACTCTAGTTTTGATCAAATACCTGCTTAAGGACTCAAGTCCTTCCTCAAGATCGGGAACGTTTGACTCCAAATCTTTAAGTTGGTTTTGGATGTTATCATATTTGCTTGTCTTGTGAGAAACGATGCTAGACAAATCAGCATCCACCTTTTCAAACTCATTTATGTCTACGCTACCTTTTTCGGGTGCATTAGCTTGGAAACTATGCTTAGCTTTGATGAAGCCCTTGGCCCTGAGATGAGGGACAACAATGATTTAATCACCTTGAAAGTGACTGCTTCAACCTCTCTTAACATGCTAATCCTGCCGTTTGTCTCATGTACCTCACTGATTGGAGAGGATCTTTGGTTTTTCAAGCCTTTCAAATTCTTCAAGGCCTTCTAGATTGTCTTTTTCACTGCCTTCCTAGAGGTCAAATAAATCTTAACCTCGCTTGTAAGTTCAATATCATCACCCCTTCTTCTGCAGAAAATTGATTGGAGTCCTTGAACAGATTCTTTAGTTTGCAAAAAGGCATCCTTAGCAATGCTGCAGATATCCAAGAGTCTAAGAGATCCATTCAACAACTCATCAACAGATTTCTTTTGTTGGTGAGCCAAGGATAACTGAAGCAAATTATCTGTTCAAAGTGATGATATTTTGCTTGAAACAAACTTTTTTTGATTGTTAAACTAAAGCTGAAAACTGGCAGTAAAAAGCAGAATTTGAAGTGGTGAAGTTGGCCTGGGAGCAGTTCACCAAAGCTGGTTTTTTTAGGCATGTTGAAGTGATTGTTTTTGGTGAATTCATCATACATTAAGCTGCCTACTTCATATCATGTTAATGTGGTGTAATTTGAGTTGCTAAAGATGTATGGTTAAGATGTATTTTGGGATTAAAATATGTTTTATGTTAGGTACAACAGTGGGATTAAAATGTATAAACTTTGTTGCTTCTTAATGAATATACATAGAAAAACAAGTCTTCCTCTCTCCCATCTCTTTTTTCTTCTTGTTCTCTCCGTGCACTTAGTTTGTGTTCAAGCTCCAATAACCAACAACTGGTATCAGAGCTCCATTTGATCTCAAGGGGCCTACAAAAACATTCATTTTCGGCACTTACTTAGTCAGTCATCATCACACCAAAAACTGGTCTTCATGGCAGCAAGTTCAGCCTCACTCTTACCTCCAACCTTTAATGGAGAACAGTACCATATGTGGGCTGTTAAGATGAAGGCTTATCTAAGAGGTCAGAGTTTATGGTAGTACACAGAAGAAGAGAAGCAGTCGCCATAGTTGGGGCTAAATCCAACCTTGAATCAAATAAGAATCCATGAAGAAGAAACTGCAAAAGCTCCAAGAGTTTCTTCTCATATACATGCTGCTATTACAGATCAAGTCTTCACAAGGATAATGGCTTGTAAGACAGCAAAGGAAGCTTGGGAAAAAGCTAAAGAAAGAATTTGGAGGAAGTAGCCAAACCCGAAATATGCAAGTCTTGAACTTAAGGAGAGAGTTTGAGACATTAAAGATGCAAGAAGCTGAAGTGGTTAAGGAGTATGTTGATAGATTAATGAATGTGGTTAACAAGATAAGGTTGCTAGGGGAGGAGATAACAGATAAACGAACTGTAGAGAAGGTATTGGTGAGCCTACCTGAGAGGTTTGAGTCAAAAATCTCCTCTTTGGAGGATTCCAAGGACTTGTCTCAGATCACCTTGACTGAGCTTGTTCATGCACTTCAAGTTCAAAAGCAAAGAAGAAAGTTGAGGCAGGAAGACAGTGGTGAAGCAGCATTGGTTGTCCTACAAAAGGGCAAGCCAACTTAGGGAGGAAACAAGAATCATGTTGGAGATAAGAGAGGAAAGGGCAGAGCCAGCAGTCAATGGAATAAACCATGAGGTTTTAGGGGTTTTCCACCATGTTCTCATTGCAAGAAGAAGAACCATGCAGCGAGTAAATGTTGGTTCAGACCAGATATTCAATGCAGGGCATGTAAGCAATTTAGCCACATTGAAAAGGTCTGTAAAAACAAACCACACCAGCCAACACAGCAAGCACAGACGGCTAAAGATCTGCAGCAAAATTTAGAATTAGAGCAAATGTTTGTGGCCTCCTACTATGTTATTCAGTTCAATGCTAGAGCTTGGCTGATTAACAGTGGATGTACAAATGATAGAACACCTGATCTGGAGAATTTTGTGAGTCTAGACCAATCATACTAGTCAAGAGTAAAGGTTCGAAATGGTGACTATGTGAAGGTTAAAGGCAGAGGAGATGTGGCTGTGCAGACCTTGACAGGTACAAAAATCATTACTAATGTTTTGTTTGTTCTTGAAATCAATCAAAATCTGCTTAGTGTAGGACATATGCTTGAAAGAAACTAAACTCTGCATTTTGAAAATCAATCCTGCACAATTTAGATAATGAGGGAAATGTGATGATGTATGTAAGAATGGTAGGAAAGAGCTTCCCAGTTGAGCTCAAAAAATCAGAATTTCAAGCCATGGCAGTGAATTCAGATGACACAGACCTATGGCATAAAAGGTATGGTCACTATCATTATGCTGGTATTAGACAAATGAAGGTAAAAAATATTGCTAATACCTTACCTGAAATAAAAGAGAATGAGAGTTTGTGTAAAGCATGCCAAATAGGAAAATTTAGCAGACATGTTTTTCCAACAAACCAGGCCTGGAGAGCTACTGAAAAGCTCCAATTGGTACACACTGATGTGTGTGGACCAATGCAGACCCCATCCCTGGGTGGATCCAAGTATTTTACTTTGTTTATTGATGATTATTCAAGAATGACTTGGGTGTACTTCCTAAAACAAAAGGATGAAGTTGCTGCTGTGTTTAGGAGGTTTAAAACTCACGTTGAAAACCAAGCTGGTGTAAGGATAAAGGCTGTGAGAAGTGATAATGGGGGTGAATATACTTCATGGGAGTTTGAATCAATATGCAGGGATGCTGGAATATGGCACCAGTATAGCTGTCCTTACACTCCTCAACAAAATGGAGTGAGTGAAAGGAAAAATAGGATAGAGATGGAGATGTCAAGATGCATGCTGACTGAAAAAAGTTTGCTAAAAGAGTTGTGGGCAGAATCTGTAAACTCTAGTGTGTACTTGTTGAATAGGCTTCCAACCAAGGCTTTAAAAGATCAAACTCCGTTTGAAGCATGGTATGGAGTTAAGCCTCAAGTGGACCATCTTAGAATCTTTGGTAGTGTATGTTATGTCCCCATACCAGCCATCAAAAGATCCAAACTTGATGACAAGCAAAAGTTGGATACTAGTTGGTTACAGCCACCAATCTAAGGATTACCGAATTTATATTCCGCAGTCTAAAAAGGTGGTGATTTCAAGGGATCTGAGGGTTGATAAGAGGTCAATTTGGAACTAGGAGGAGAAGAGAATTCAAGATGATACAAGGCCATAGCAAAGGGAACAAATTGCCGACCAATTTGATGAGGCATATTCTGATGCAGAAGAAGAAACATCAGTTAGAGGAACCAGAACCTTTGCTGAGATTCATGGGAGATGCAATGTAACTATGCTTGAACCATCATCCTATTCAGAGGCAGCCAAGTCAGAGGCATAGAGAATTGCAATGCAGAAGGAATTGTCCATGAAAGAAAAGAATGGAACATGGAAGCTTGTGGACAAACCTACCAAGAGAAAAGTGATCCAAGTTAAATGGATCTTCAAGAGAAAATTGAACCCTGATGGTTCAGTTTTTAAGCACAAAGCTAGACTTGTTGTCAAAGGCTTTGTACAACAACATGGTGCAGACTTTCAAGACACATTTGCTCTTATTGCTAGACATGATACTATCTAGTTAATCCTTGCATTGGTAGCTCAATTCAAGTG